ATGGGAACTTTATCTTATATCTATTTAACTCACTTATTTTTCACAATTATGCATAGATTGCTTTATAAAGATGAGATAGTAAGCAGCTAGTCATCATATCATCTAAGTTATTTCTCTTGCTGACATATTTTGTAATATAGAGGTAGCATAGGTTTATTTTACCAGTGAACCTAGGTAGGAAAAGTTATGTGCCGGTATTATATTTAGTGCTGAAAATTCTGAAGACATGACTGTTTTAATGGAATTAATAATATTCTTATTTATCAAGCTCACCCAAGTGAGCATTTGAGTTAGTTCTTAATTTTCTGAGCGAATACTTCATTTATATTAGTGCTTATTTTTGAAAGAGCCAAATAAATAGAGCTCGTTTTCAATTTAATTTGGCAGTATCATAAGGAGATACAAAAATATCACACATATGTGTCATACATACAGATCTGTCCATAAACATATAAACAGACACAGATCTTAAATAGCTTTTGTTTAAAATTTTTAGCCATTTGCCAAGCACAATAAGATAAAACTCAATAATTTATTTAAAAATATCTGAACCAAAATTGTTTTCCTGGCCAATAGCATAAGATTTCCTGCCCCCGTGGGTAAAGTTTTTAAATAATATTTGTGAAAAAGATATTTAACATTTTTTTCATTTGTTTTCTGTAAGGAACCTGATAAAGAGGCAATCTTTGCTTTATTTAATACTTTAGATGCCTGTATATGCCAATTTAAAAATGTATCCCATTGCTTTATGGCATTTTGGATTCTTTTTTTTTTTATGCTCCTGCAAATGAACAATTTTATATATGTTAAAATTTCCCCATTGTAACAACTATAATTCTAAGTTGTTCTAGTAAGGGACATTTTTTTCAAAAACACACAGGTTCTAGGCCCAGCCCATAATTTTTGTGTATAAAGTTAGCTGGTGTACCAAAAAGTGAAGTCCCAGATTCTTGGAAGTCCAGAGTTTTGTTTTTTTTTTTTTGAGAGGGAGTTTCACACTCACCCAGGCTGGAGTGCAGTGGCACATTCTAGGCTCACTGCAACCCTTGCCTTCTGGGTTCAAGTGATTCTCCTGCCTCAGCCTCCCAAGTAGCTGGGATTACAGGCACCTGCCAACACTCCTGGATAATTTTTATATTTTTAGTAGAGGTATGGTTTCGCCATATTGGCCATGCTGGTCTCGAACTCCTAACCTCAGGTGATCCACACGCCTCAGCCTCCCAAAGTGCTGGGATTATAGGCATGAGTGCCTGGCTGGAATCCCAGATGTTTTTTAAATTTGGAGAAACCCATTTTCAAAAGATACTGACCTCCAGCCCAGTCCAGTAAAATTGCTCAAATAAAGTCAGAAAGGTCAAAACAAAAATTCATAGAGCTTGAATTTAAGAGAGAACCCTGCCATGATCCCAGTTGCTGTGAGAGATGAGTGGGCAAATGATCCCTGGTGAGTACCTTCACTTGGCCATACGGTACTCCCTTGTGTCCCTGGAGGTCTGCTTTGGGTCCCACTTCTGACACCAATCTACTAGAATAAATGCTTTAGACAAATTAAATTTAGTAGAGTTTATTTGAGCAAAGAAACAGTTCATGAATTGGGTAGCACCTTGAACCAGTAGCAGTTCAGAGAGCTTCACCCAGCAACAGTGGATAGGCAGTATTTATAGACAGAAAAAGAAAGTGACATATAGAAATAGCCTGATTCATTACAACTCTTTATCTGTCTTATTTTGTCATGGTCTGAGCAGTTGCAGCCTGTAATTGGCTGAAATCTCAGGTGCTATGATTGGCTGAGACCTAGCTACTTGTTACAAGAATATACTCAAATTAGATTGTAGTTTATTTACATATTAAGATAGGTTACAGTTTGCTATGTATGGAGAGAACTTTAGGCCACATTTAATTTAACAGTGTATAATAAAGGCCCACAAACATCAAACAAGTCCTCCCCCTACTAGAAGTAACTGTCATAGTAGATCCTGTGTTCACTTTTTTTTTTTGCTTTGATCTCATCTTTATATCTAATTCTGTAAACAATATCAGAAAGCACTGTTGTTGAGCACCTTGTTAGGCTTGGGAGATCACTACTGGCTGAAGAGAAAGTGTTAGGTTCAAATAATAAAATCTATTAAGTGCTAGATGGTAGCAAATGCAAAAACCTATAGGGTATAAATGAAAAAGGAAGATTGCATAGACAAACCTAGTAACTTGAAGCATGAGTCAATTTATGAAGAAAAGAGAATTTGCTTCAGAGGAAGCAACAAATTCAAAGGCAGAAGCATGAGAAATTAATGCAACAGGAAAAGGGGGTGAGGAATTAGGTATAGTTAGAGATGAAGCTAGGATGATAGATTGGGAGGATGATTAGGTGAGTTTTTAGTCCTCATTTACAACTTGTATCTAATCTGAGGCAGAACATAGTCTAATTACAGTGTTGTCATATATTTTTTAATGAAATTTGTGTGTAATGGACAGCAGTGATGCCTCAGTATGGTACGTTTTCAGATCTGTAATTCTTTTCCTTGGGAAAGAAAGAATGGCCACCTGTCTTAGTCTATTTGGGATGCTATAACAAAATACCACTAGTTTGGTGGGTTATAAACAATAGAAATTTATTTCTCACAATTCTGGAGGCTTGGAAGGCCAAGATTAAGGCACCAGCAGATTCATCCTACTTCCTGGTTTACAGATGACTCCTTCTCATTGTAACCTCACATGGTAGAAGGGGCAAGGGAGCCAGCTCTCTGGGGTCTCTTTTATAAGGTCACTAATCCCATTCATGAGAGCCTGCCTTCATGACCTAATCACCTCCTGAGGCTCACCTCCAAATATCTTCACATTAGGATTCAACATATGAATTTTGAAAGGACACAAACATTCAGTCCACAATACCGCTGCAGTATTTTTTTTTTTTAAACAATTCTCAAATGTGAGGTACCTATAGTATATAAAGATGTGATACGGCCAGGTGCAGCGGCTCATGCCTATAATCCCAGCACTTTGAGAGGCCAAGGTGGACAGATCACTTAAGCCCAGAAGTTTGAGACTGGCCTGGGCAACATGGTAAAACCCTGTTTCTACAAAAAAAAAAAAAAAAAAAAAAAAAATTAGCTGGACATGGTGGTACTTGCCTGTAGTCCCAGCTACTAGGGAGGGTGAGGTGGGAGGATCACCTGAGTCCAGCAAGATCAAGGCAACAGTCAGCCATGATCATGCCACTATACTCCAGCCTGGGTGGTAGAGTGAGACCCTGTCTCAAACAAAACAAAACAAAACAAAAAGTGATGTAAAGAAAGGAACACTGTAGCCAGAATTCAGTGTCCTGGCATAGTCACTAGTGTGCCATATGACCTTCTACAAACATTTACCCTCCCTTGGCTCCAATGTCCTCATCTCTCAAAAGAAATGGTTGGACATGAAGTCCTTGCCCATGCCTATGTCCTGAATGGTATTACCTAGGTTTTCTTCTAGGGTTTTTATGGTTTTAGGTCTAACATTTAAGTCTCTAATCCATTTTGAATTAATTTTCATATAAGGAGTAAGGAAAGGATCCAGTTTCAGCTTTCTACTTATGGCTAGCCAATTTTCCCAGCACCATTTATTAAATAGGAAATCCTTTCCCCATTTCTTGTTTTTGTCAGCTTTGTCAAAGATCAGATGGCTGTAGATGTGTGGTATTATTTCTGATGGCTCTGTTCTGTTCCATTGGTCTATATCTCTGTTTTGGTACCAGTACCATGCTGTTTTGGTTACTGTAGCCTTGTAGTACAGTTTGAAGTCAGGTAGCCTGATGCCTCCAGCTTTGTTCTTTTGGCTTAGGATTGTCTTGGCAATGTAGGGTCTTTTTTGGTTCCATATGAACTTTAAAGCAGTTTTTTCCAATTCTGTGAAGAAAGTCATTGGTGGCTTAATGGGGATGGCATTGAATCTATAGATTACCATGGCCAAAACACCAAAAGCAACGGCAACAAAAGCCGTAATTGACAAATGGGATCTAATTAAACTAAAGAGCTTCTGCACAGCAAAAGAAACTACCATCAGAGTGAACAGGCAACCTACAGAATGGGAGAAAATTTTTGCCATCTACTCATCTGACAAAGGGCTAATATCCAGAACCTACAAAGAACTCAAACAAATTTATGAGAAAAAAAAACAAACAACCCCATTGAAATGTGGGCAAAGGATATGAACAGACATTTCTCAAAAGAAGACATGCAGACAGCCAATAGGCACATGAAAAAATGCTCATCATCACTGGCCATCAGAGAAATGCAAATCAAAACCACAATGAGATACCATCTCACACCAGTTAGAATGGCAATCATTAAAAAGTCAGGAAACAACAGGTGCTGGAGAGGATGTGGAGAAATAGGAACACTTTTACACTGTTGGTGGGATTGTAAACTGGTTCAACCACTGTGGAAAACAGTATGGCGATTCCTCAAGGATCTAGAACTAGAAATACCATATGACCCAGCCATCCCATTACTGGGTATATACCCAAAGGATTATAAATCATGCTGCTCTAAAGACACATGCACACGTATGTTTATTGCAGCACTATCCACAATAGCAAAGACTTGGAATCAACCCAAATGTCCATCAGTGACAGACTGGATTAAGAAAATGTGGCACATATACACCATGGAATACTATGCAGCCATAAAAAAGGATGAGTTTGTGTCCTTTGTAGGGACATGGATGCAGCTGGAAACCATCATTCTCAGCAAACTATCGCAAGAACAGAAAACCAAACACCTCATGTTCTCACTCATAGGTGGGAACTGAACAATGAGATCACTTGGACTCTGGAAGGGGAACATCACACACCGGGGCCTATTATGAGGTGGGGGAACGGGGGAGAGATGGCATTGGGAGTTATACCTGATGTAAATGACGAGTTGATGGGTGCTGACGAGTTGATGGGTGCAGCACACCAACATGGCACAAGTATACATATGTAACAAACCTGCACGTTGTGCACGTGTGCCCTAGAACTTAAAGTATAATAATAAAAAAAAAAATAATGAAGCCATGCATCTCTCCAATTTGCCAGCAATGTCTGAAATTTCCGTGCTTAACCTAATGGGTTAATTGGATCACTCTGCCATCATTGCTTCCATTCAAAGGAGTATTTTGCACAGCATAAAAACAAATTAATTTGTATCCAAATAATTTGACATAAATTGTAGGCCTCTCAACCTCAATTTCCTTCTGGATAAAACAGGCCTAGATTCAGTATCCACATTTGTTGCAAGAATAAAATAAAAATATGTTTATAAAAAAAAAAAAGAAATGGTTGGACAAACAGCGTTCCAGCTGTTTTCCGCTAAGAGTCTAACACCACTTACGATCTTCTAAAGTGGGAGGGCCACCACTGCCCCTCCCCCTGCCTAGTGTTGTTCAGATGACAGTTACAATAGAATCATTCTTCTTTTGCCAGAAGTGCAAATTGTTTCCCAAATGTGGCCTTGGGCTTTCAGGAGCCCGGTAGTGACTTCTGTGGTCCCTGATTTGCACCCTCACCCTGTTATTGGGGTTGTGCTTCATTTCTCTCTGTGGAAAGAGTGAAGTATTGCGAAGTATGACCCTCGTCACCAAACCAACTCAGAGACAGCAAGTGCTTTGGCAAAGGAAAGGGCTGGCACAGAGAACAGAGTAAGTAATAACTGCTTTTATTTGTCCTATAAATGGATAATTATAGTACTTAAAAAATAAACATCAAAGAAGCATTATCTAACAACATACATGATGGTGGGCTGTGAGTGCAGCAGAAGTAGTGTGTAAAGTAGGTCTTCTCCAACAGAACAGTGGTGGGCAAAAAATATCAATGGTTTTCCAGTCTTCAAGCTTTATGAAGCAGGCAGGCAGAGAGAGCTGAGCTGACACAGTACTTACACTGTCAGGTGATAGACACATCGACCCAAGCACAGGATTTTTTTGGTTGATTTGTTTGTTTTTGAGATGGAGTCTTGCTCTGTCGCCCAAGCTGGAGTGCAGTGGCGCAATCTCAGCTCACTGCAAGCTCTGCCTCCTGGGTTCACGCCATTCTCCTGCCTCAGCCGCCTGAGTAGCTGGAACTACAGGTGCCCACCACCATGCCCGGCTAATTTTTTGTATTTTTAGTAGACACGGGATTTCACCGTGTTGGCCAGGATGGTCTTGATGTCTTAACCTCGTGATCCACCAGCCTCGGCCTCACGAAGTGCTGGGATTACAGGCATGAGCCACCATGCCCAGCCCCGAGCACAGGATTTTTTAACAGCCAGGAAGGAGCATTTGGGGTTGGGATTCATTGAGTAAGTTGGGATTTTCCTTCTATTTGTGGGAAATTAATAATTTCTGGCTTACTGGATCAAAAGTGAAAAATTAATGCTGCCTCTTCTCTTTTATTGAGCAATTTAAAAATTTCATATGGCAGAAAACCAGAGGCTGTGGCTGCTCAGGGTGGCATGAGAGCAGAGTCTAGAAAGTTCAATCAAAAGCTTACCTACTGCAAAATTAAAAATGGGTGACATTACCACTCTCATCTGCAGAGTTTTCAAGGAAATAATCATATGATTTGCATAATTAAGACATAATTAGTTCAGAAGGGAATGATCATAATCATGTGTTTGTATGGAAACTGAAACATGCTCTCAGGATGACTTATAAGACACATAAAGTAAAATCTCTAATAATACTGGATAATTTATCAAATAATTCTGTGCTCTTGAGCTTTTAGAAAAAAATTTATCCTGGCAGACTTTAAATATCTTGGTTTTTCTCATCATGCTAGCAGTTGTTGTAATACCAGCTACTTTCTACCTCCATTTTCTCCTCCACTTAGAAAACCTTTATTCCACTTACAGAGCATTATGGCCTTCCCAAATAACGAGTTGAAATTAAAGTCTGTGGAGTGTGAAGCATAGGATTCCTGGGATCAAAGTAGTCAAAACACATGCAAAACAAACATTTGTATAAAACGCTGCCTTTGGAAAAAAGAAGGTGATGTGTAGTACAGCTTATGCAATCTTGATTCAGGGTTTTAGGCACATTCTGCAATCTGGGTGAGAGTTTATTTGGACTCTTTTGCTAAGGAGATGAAATGTTCATTCCACCTGAAACACAGATTTTCCACACAGTGGTTAATAATAGCCTATTTTACCATAGGTGTTAGTGGCTCTGTGGATTCATTGAGTATAGGTCAGGATTCTTTTTCTATTCTATGGAAAGGGAAAGATTTCTGAATTTTGAGAATGAACTATTTTTCTAACCTCAGCCCACAGTCTCCAGAATGCTTGCATGAGATCATAAGACTCACTAAGTGGGACAATGAGAACTGTGCAGTACACATTCACTACTACCCAAGGGGGAAACCACCTACAGAATGTGTGCTTTCACATAAATTACACCTTCTGATTTGTTTTCTTAGGAGTTCCAGGTATAAAGTTTTATACAATGAAAACTAACCATTCACTAGCTTTAAAAACAATGATAATGATGGCCATCCCTTTGAGCAATTTTTATATACCATTCAGTTAGGTTAAGTGGTTTTGCATGTAATATCAGCATTTATTGAGCCCATTATTATTTTTATACCATTCTGGGTACTTCATGTGAATTCATTCATTAAATTCTCACAATAAGTCTATGTGGCAGGTACTAAGGGTACCCATCTTTTACAGGTAAGAACAATGAGACCCAGAAAGGTTCAGAAACTTAGCCAAGGCTACATGGCTAATGAATGGCACTGGCAGACTTCAAATTCAGGACTGTTTTCAGGGGTTGTGTTCTTGACTACATGCTGTTTTGCCTTTTCATAACAACCCTCAGGCTTTCGTGCTATCCTCATCTAAAATGAAGAAATAGGTTTGGAGCATTTCAGCCATTTATTAAATGTAGCTCCCCTAATACTTGACCAGGCTCAGATTTTATCCCGCTCTGATCTCAAGGCTCTCATGCTTTTCACAATTCCATACTCGTTAGACAGTACCCCTGCTTGTAGAGGGGAAAAAATGAGGGAGATGTTCTCCAGTAAACATTATCTATGTTTAGATTTGGAGCTTTTTCTGTTATACTAATATTGTCATAAAAATTAGACCGATTAATATATTTGGACATTCTTACTAATAAACCCCAGAGCTGCAAGTTTCCCACAGTGATTCCCAGTGGTTCTACCTGAAGACTAAGAGTCATGTGTTTATACCATCTGATTTCCAGCATGCAGACTCTTGTTTCTCAAACACAAACATCCATTTTTAATTGTTTATTGCTCACCTCTCCTTGATACTTCAAATACATATCAGATACTTCAAATGTAACTTACCAAATTTGAGCCTGTTATTTCCTACCCTCTACCTCACTCAAATAGCTTCCACCTCTTCTTGCATTTGATGTCTCAGTTCATTATGACTCGCCCCCCTCCCCCATCCAAGGGGCCTTGTGATGTGCTGTGTATCAGCAGTTTGTTACTTTTTATTACTGAATAGTATTCCATTGCATGGCTTTACCAGGTTTTGTCTATACATTTAGCAACTGATAGACATTGAGGTTGGTTCCAGTTTGGAGTTATGAATAATGCTGCTATGAACATTCACAAGCAAGTCAATGGAGTCTTGCTATGTTGGCCAGGCTGGTCTCCAACTCCTCTCAAGCAATCCTCTCACCTCAACTTTCTAAGTAGCTGGAATTACAGACATGCACCACTGTGCCCAGCTTGGACATATATTTTCATTTCTCTTGGGTAGATAGTTTTATGTTTAACTTTTTGAGAAACCACAAAACTGTTTCCAAAATGACTACACAAATTTTATAACCACCAGCAATATATGAGTTCCTTTTTCTCCACATCTTCACCAACACTTGTTATTTTCTATAGCTTACTTTTGATAGCCATCCTAGTGTGTGTGAAAATGTACACTTAATGCTCTTCCCTAATTAATAATGATGTTGAGCATTTTTATGTGCTTATTAGCCATTCGTGTATCTTCTTTATTAAAATATTTCTTCTGGGGCCACCACTGCCCCTCTTGCACTTTTGCCAGAAGTGCAAATCATTTCCCAAATGTGGCCTTGGGCTTTCAGAAGCCCAGTAGTGACTTCTGTGGTCCCTGACTTGCACCCTCACCATATTATTGGAGTCATGCTTCATTTCTTTCTGTTGAAAGAGTGAAGTATTGGGAAGTATGACCCTGGTCAATGAGTCAACTCAGAGACTTATTTTCAGTATGTATTCATGAATTCTTAGTCTTTACAAAGGCGTATAATTCATTACTGTATTTAATTATTTTGATTTTCCAATTGAACCACATTTGGCCAGTGGGAATCTCTCCAAGATGGTTCCTTGTGACATTTCCCCACTATCTTCTCACTTCCTGATTTTTGGACATAAAAAGGCTCATCTTGTACCTCTTCTGCCCTAGCTCCAGAAACAGCCATTTCATTTAGAAACTCTGGTTCCTCTGAGTGGAAATGGTATTAGAAACCAAGGTCTGGGCACAACTGTACTTTAAAGAGAGTAACCTGGCAGCTGAGTGAAGTATGCATTAGTTCTCTATTACCCTGTGTATTAGTCTGTTCTCATGCTGCTGTGAAGAAATACCTGAGACAGGGTAATTTATAAAGAAAAGAGGTTTAATTGATCCACAGTTCCAGATGGCTGGGGAGGCCTCAGGAAACTTACAATCATGGCAGAAGGTGAAGGGGAAGCAAGGCACTTTCCTCACAAGGCAGCAGGAAAGAGAAGTGCCAAGAAAAAGGGGAAAAGCCCCTTATAAAACCGTCAGATCTTGTGAGAACTCACTATCATGAAACAGCATGGAGTAACTGCCCCCATGATTCAGTTACCTCCCACTGGGTCCCTCCCATGACATGTGGGGATTATGGGAACTACAATTCAAGATGAGATTTGGGTGGGGACACAGCCAAACCATATCACTATGTGACAAATTACCACAGCTTTGTGGTCAAAAAAAGAAAAAAAAAAAGTCTCACACTTTGTTTCGATCAAAGAATCAGGGGTAACTTAGCTGGGTGGAGGTAGCTAATGGTTCTTCATGAAACTATAGTCAAAATGTTGTCTAAGTCTGCAGTCATCTAAAGGCTCAACAGGAACAGAAATGTCTGTTTTTGAGATAACTTACTCGCATATAGTACATGACTGTTGACAGGATGTACCATATTCTTACTGGCTGTTAGCAGGAGGCCTTGGTGCCTTGCCACATGAGCATCTCCACAGGGCTGCTGTGTGTCCTCACATGATAGCAGCTGGCTTCCCTTGGAGCAAGTGACCCAAAAGAGAGCAAGGCAGAAACCACAATGTTTTTTTATGACCTAGCTTCGAAAGCTGCACATCTTTTGCACAATAGCCTAGTGATTACACAAGTCGGTGTTATTCAATGTGGGAGGGAACCATATAAAGAATCATCAGGGGCCATCTTGGACTCTGGCTACCACACAAGCCCAAGATGGTAAAGAGACTTTTCTATGTAATTTTTATGTTATTTTCTATGCTGTGTTTTACTTTTCACATGTAGGTGTATCACCCATCAGGAATTGTTTTTAAGATATGGTGTGAGATAGGGAGTCAGGGTTCATTTATTCCTTTACTGATAGGCAGTTGTTATGGCACCATTTATTGAAATTTCCACTCTTTCCCCCACCATACCGCAGGGGCA